GGAAGGAAAAAAGGGAGGAAGTGGAAGAAGAGAGAGAGGGAGGAAGTGGAGGGATGGAGGAAGGGAAGGAGGGAGAAAGTGGAGGAAGGAAGAGAAGGAGGAAGTGGAGGGAGGGATAGAGAAAGTGGAGGAATAGAGCAAGAAGTGAGAGAGGAAGTGGACAATGTTAGGTAAGAAGGAAGGAAGTGGAGAAAGTAAGTGGAGGGAAGAGGGTAGAGCGCTACATATGTTGTTTATTAATATTGTATTGACTTCATTAACTAAATTAATGGAAAATTCTTTTGTTATTAGATGAGTGAGCTGATGAAAGGAAAGCTAATACCTGGTCCTGTCATTAAACTGTTATGGGAGAAGTTCACTATGAAGGTAATTCCTCAGCTTGAAACCACACTGCGAGTGCATTCATGTGCGCACTGTTGTCTTCAAGGCTAACTGGTGTGCTCATCAGGAATTGGTTTGCTGCTTCCTTCACGTTCTGACAAGACAATAGAGATTTCGAGTAGAAGAGGACGCCTTAGTACATTCTTTCCCATCTGCACACTTTCTTCAAAACAGATTCCTTTTCCTTCGCTGTTTCTTGGCATTCTAACAATTGATGCATCCCCAAGACAACATTTGCACACTTTCTTCAAGAAAGATTCCTTTTCCTTCGCTGTTTCTTGGCGCTCTGACATATTGATGCATCCCCAAGACAACATTTGCACACTTTCTTCAAGAAAGATTCCTTTTCCTTCGCTGTTTCTTGGCGCTCTGACATATTGATGCATCCTCAAGACAACTGTGCATCAGTGCTTTCATCACGCTCACAACTTTTTTCTAAAAGACTTCATCATCAGGGCTTCCTTTTTGTTTATTTACATTTATTTATTTATTTACATTCATATTTTAACAGGAAGCTTCTTCACTTATAAATGTGATTTTCAAGAAGGTCCTGATAAATAATTGATAATTAATAATTCATTAATAATTCATTAATTAATTAATAGGTTTCTCAGACCACAGCTGAAGAAAGCCGTGCAGCTTTGATTCTTCTTGGAATGTTAGCAAGGTGAGTAACCATGGTAACTACTTCAAACATGACATCATTGTTGTATCTTTAGTGATGCACACAGCATAGCATGGTTACGATATGAACCAATCACTTACTGCCCTTCCATCAAAATACTCTAGTGTGCCGCTGTCACAGTCATGACAGAATGCATTTTTTATAAACTCTCTTCCAGCTGATCTGAATAATTGACATGGAAATGAAGCGTCATGAAGCTTGTGGAAATTGACCAGCGAAAAATAGAAACATATCCATCATTGGTCATTGTGTTACTGTTATTTACCTCTTATTGCCAACTTTTTTTTTCATTTGGTTTTTCATTTCAATAAGCCTGAAGCGTGATGATGTTTTACCCCCGTCTCTAGACCATAATCCTTTTCACACTACTTTTGTTCTTTAATTATGACTATTGTTCCTGTATTCTCTAGGGAATCTTAAAAATTTTAAATCCTATTATGGTATAGAGTCAGTGGTAAAACGTCATCTCACCTAAGGCTTAATGACACCTCAGTTTCCAAATTTTCCGATTCTGGATGGCTAATATTTTCTCTCGGATCAACTGGCTACCACACAACAGCTTCCAATTCCCAAACCATTCAAATCCATAGCTTCTAACTCCAATTTTTCTTTTTTCAGCGCTGAGATGGATATCATTCGCAGCAATGTGGATGTGTTGGTTAAAAGTGGTCTGGGAACCAGAGCTGAGGAAGACTTTTTACTTGCACGGGATACCTGTGTTGCTCTCCTAAAACTGAACAAAAAGAGCAAGGTAAACACTAAAGCCACCGATAGATGCTGTAATTTTTCTCATGCTGGCAATGCAACCTCAATTTTTCCGTTGCATTGCCAGCACGAGACACAATTTCAGCCTGTATCATGCCTGGTGACTTTGACGGCGATGATGTCTCGCAACGCAAATATTGTTGCAGAAAATCAAAACATTTTAACTTTTCTCTTCAACATTTTCGGAATTGTACACCTAAAAATAGCGAAAATTGAAAATTGCAGCTTCTATCACCCATGTTTACTAGCTTTGCAATAAACCTATCCAGACTAAACAATCAGGATTTATTCAGATTTTTACCCAGGAATTTATTTCAAACCTTTTTGATATGGTAGACGTTTCAACTTTTCGCTGCAAAAAAAATGTGAAATTGAATTGCCAGCTCAAGAAAAAATTGCAGTTTGTATCTGCAGCTTAAGTTTCTAAGGGTGGATAGGATTGGCCTGTTGTTGATCGAGTATATTTCTCTAACGTCGACTTAATAAGAGGCTTGATTAACTGTCGATGGATCACCCTGTTGAACTCGATTTTGGAAGTCCTGCATCAGTATCTTTGCTTGGTCTACTGGTGTTCCAAACAGCTGTCCAATCTTTAGCCACGGGTTTTGCAAATTTGAATAAGAAAGAAAATTTTGGAAACATTTTGGTACCCATACTGTAGTCCATTCAATGACACCATCATTCAAACTACCTATTTGTCTAATTTTATAACTTTGAGCGCTATTTCTTTCTTTACTTATAAGGATTAAATATGACTAAATGAAAGAATCTCATACCCCGCTACAAAGTGCAAGCTAAAGCGGTTGTTGATCTTACTTCATGACATGCAAACGTCCCCTCACCTCCCCTGAGGGGTTCATTATCAACTCTTGTTTTCTAAATTACTTCGTTTTTTTCTCAGACATCAAGGGGTGGTACAGAGGAACCATTCCGTTTCCCAGCTTCACACGCGATCTTTGAGCGTCTCAGCCAGATCATTGTTTCAGGTGAGGTCTAGAAATTAACATTTTTCTAACCCTGGGCAGATCAAAGTCAGGGCATGGCAAACTCAAATCCGGAATCCACGTTGGGTTTTGAGGAGGGACGGACATCCAGAGAAAATTTTCAAAATTTTGGCTTGTTGATTGTTAAAGGTATTCGCAAAGTAGAGGACACTCACTGGATACCCATGGCAGAACAGGCTATCAATGTGATATACGCCTTGTCTGAACACCCTGACACAATCTGTGAAGAGATCATTAGAAAGATTGCAGTTTGTTTGATTGACAAGGAAACCAGACAGTCACCCATACCAGAAGATGGTCAGGACACACAGACACAAGGTATGAGACAGTACTTATAACGCGCGCTCTGATTGATTGGTTGAATTGGTCGAATGATTTCATCTTTAACCTAATTTTGATGTCATTCATTTCATACTAAACTAAAACACGACTTTCCATTTTATTTGTAGCACAGTTGTTTTGTAAAAGAGATATATACGTAAAGCAATTGTCCGCTTCTTCACGTCATGTTTTCTTTCATTGCTTTCTTGCTTCTCTCGTGTTCTCTCGGTATTCCGCAATTTTAGATCAGAATATCTGCAACAGAAAACTGGAATTTTTTCTTTTTCGCAGAAAGGGAATTTCATTCCTTATCGATAACCTGTTTAATTATTCGCATGTGTATTCTCAATAGATGAAGCAAGTGGTCCACAGAATGGTCTCATCACAATAAGGTCATGTCATTCCACAATGCTGGCGCGCTTTTTACACCTGAGTGGTCACGTGGCTCTACGTCAGTTGGTTCACCTTGATTCTAGCATACTGAAGGAGATCAAGAGGCGACAGTGCGTGCAAGAGAACGAGAAAGAGAAGGAAAGACAGGACAAGCAGGCGGGAAAAGATAAAAGAAGTAATAACACGACTACAAATACTACAAAGGTAACAGCATACTTTTATGACATGGCCACAATATGAAGCGCGCTTTGATTGGTTAAGCGGCCATCTTGCGGAATATTTAAGAAGTAATAACACGATTACAAA